GGCACCAGTGGCACCGGGGAGGCAGGGCCCCTTCCTTGGCCTCGGGCAGCCCTGGAGGGAGGGGGCGAGGTGCCAGCAAAGCTTCCCCGTCCCAGGGCCTCTGCAAGCTTCCTGTGTGGCCAAGCACAATGGTGTCAGGAGCCTGGAGCCCTCGGCAGTGGGGCAGTCCAGGTGAGGGCGGCTGGGGGTGGGGTCGGGGCTCCGGGCAGGGTCGTGGCAGAGGGACGGCTCTGGGCTGAGCTCCTCACGCAGGACCTGCCACCCCTGGGGCCTGTGCCCAAAGCGCTGCCCTTGGGAGTTTCTCGGGCACCGCTTTGGTGTAGAACGTGTCTTCTGGGAGCGGACAGGGAGTAAGTTTTCCGCTCAACTTAGACCCGCAGCAGGACATGTTTGTAGGAGCCTTTTGGTGCGGGATAGTGGCTGTCGTGGACACTCCTTGGCTGGTGCAAAGCCAGGGCTCTCCACGAATGGGCACCCGCTGATGTCTGCCCAGCTCCAGGCGCTGTCTGCGCTGCTTGGGCATAGAAGGAGGCTCTTCTGCCCGAGGCAGGAATTGTCTCCGTGGAGCAGAGAGCAAATGCTCGGTGTTTAGCAGCATTTCTGTCTCTCTTGCAGGGCTTTTTTCTGGCTCGTCTCACTGCTGCTCTCCTCCCTCATCTGGTTTATTGCTGTTAAAGCCAGTGACCCCAACGATGAACCGTTGCAGAAGGGGCTCTTGATATTTGGGGTGATGTTTTCTGTGCTGCTGCAGGAGGCCTTCCGCTTTCTCTACTACAAACTCCTCAGGTAAGGGATGTGGTGTGGGTCTGGCATGAGGAGGAGGCTCTCCTGTCACCCAGCTGATCCTGTCTCACTGTGGCAGGGCCGGAGGATGTTGGTGCTTCCTGAGTGCTGGCGTGTCCTTTGGAGCCCCGTGACTGTACCCAGAGAGGCAGCTTGAGTTAACCCTGAGCCTCAGCAAGCCCCGGGCTGGCCCCAGGATCTGGGAATGGAGTGATATTGCCCTTGCCTTTTCCCTCTGCATCCTGAGCTCTGCTCAGGATCTCAGTCAGCATTTCTTAGGAGACTAAGATTCTTACAGCTAAAACTTGTGTCTTAATTGAGGTCAGGAGGCTGTGACTCCAGGCTGTTACAGGATGGGTTATAGGATTTTTATCCTGCCTTCCCAGCAGGCTGTTCTGACTAGATCCAAGAGCATTCCCATTGTTTGGACGATACCTGTGGGATGCCAGACGAAAAAACTTCTACTTTGCTGTGTGAATGAAGGACGTGTTTACAAGTCTGGTTCTTTTCTTAGCATAGTCTTTCCCTTTGCTTCACCAGGAAGAGCCTGCAGGAGGTTTCAGGGCTGTGCCCTGCTCGGGGTGCCTGTCTTGGCTGGTGCAGTGTCACGTTGTTTGTGAGCCAGCGTCACACCCCACGTTACGTCTGAGCAAAACGGCTCAGCCCTAGGGAGGTGGCAGTGGGTTGTGTAACTGCTGTGTCTGTGTGTGACCCACAGCAGCGCCTGCCGCTCTCTGTGCTCCTCAGCCTTGGGTGTCCCATTTAGGATGCTTTGATGACTGCCCCGTGGAGGAGTGGTGGTAACATAGGCAGAGTGGTTTGTCCCCGCGAGCCTGAGAGATATTAACCTTGGGAGTTTGGGGGGGATTCGAACAGTTCCTCACCTTCAGGGCAGGGCTTCTTGGCCAGGATGAACCTGTAGCCAGGAGTCAGGGCAGCACTGCTGGAGGGCAGTGTCTGCAGTGCCCTGAGTCCCTGCGGTGGGGAGAGGGGCCTTAGGCCGGGTTTTCCGTGGGAATTTCTACCACATCAGGCCCAGAGAGATCAGCTGTTCTGCTAGGAATCACTTTGCCCTTTCCTAAAGTAGCAAAGGTGCTTTGCAGGTGTCAAGGCCAGCAGGACCTGACCCAGCAATCTGCACTTGGGTGTTAGCCTGAAGCCTTGTCCAGAGCTTCCTAATCCTGCCCTGTATTTCTGTGTCGGGACTCAGGTCCCTGCTGAGGGACAAGGCTGTCCCCTTTGGGGCCAGCTCCCGACCCAGGGCAGCCCTGCCAGCTGCCGGGAAGTTCGTTCCCATCAGGAGCAATCACTGCCTCAGGCATGGCACCCGGGCCAGCCCAGGGCAAAGTCTAGGCACAGTCTCAGGAAGGCTGTGGCTCCCTGGGATCTGCGTGGAGCCTTGCAGGCCACGCTGGTGCTTCAGGACGGGAGATGCTGCCCAAGAAGTGTGGATGTGCAGAGGGAGGCGCTGGGATCCCAGCACTCCTGTCTCGCCAGGCAGCGTGGCGCAAGGAATAAGCAAGCAGGAAGGGCCGGGAGCAAGAGCAGGGCAGAGAAAGGCTGGCAGCCTGGAGATGAGGGGCTTGGGAAAGGTCCCAGCTCCGGTAGGGGTGTCTCAGGAGCAGTGCCGGTTGTTGAGCCCGTGGCAGATATGCGAGTCACGCTCCTCGCCGCAGCAAGCGCTTCTGGAGCTGGGAAGGCAGAGGGTAGCAGAGCTCCATGGATCCCTCTCTGGAATATAAAGTCGTGTGCTGCATTCTGCAGAAGTCCAGCCCCTTTTAGGGCTGCTTTCTTCTTAAGGCTGAAGAAGCTTTCGGATGTTTTGTCCTACCTCACAGAGTGGATGGAATTCACCAGGCCAGGCACCCGAGTCCAAGAGCAATTTCTATAGCTCTTTGAGCTCTTCTCCACACTCTCCTTATTTTTCCTGTACTTCCAGAAATACAGATGCAAGGAGCGTATTTGTGGGTACGTCCACAGCAGCACACCAGTTGCAGCATCACACAGAGAAGCTGCCCATTTTGCTTTCCTCTACGCTTGGTCTATAGGGTTGGCTTGCATGCAACTCCCTGTGTGGAACATATTTGTATTTGCCTTCGCTAATGTATATTTTTTGTGCGCGTGGTTTGTCAGGCAATGAGGGAGGTCCTTCGAATCCTCTTTGTGGTGTTTTGCCACTTCAGCAAGGGGAACAAACAGGGACACACAGGAGTGCTGCTCCTGATCCGCTTGGTCACCCTCCCTGCCGAGATTTGTCAGCATTGTCGTAAATGTTTATTGTCACGTTCTAGTGATATGCAGAGTGCCACTGAGTCAGTCAGTTGCTGGGTCACTGAGTGCAATGACAGGTGTCTGTCAGGGCCCCAGCAATGTCACAGCTGCACCCTTCCTTTTGCAAGATTGCAAAGAGGGTGGCTCAAAGATAAAATCCTGGCTCGCTGCCCAGCTGCTCTGTGGCGCCCCAGCTGGCAGGGCCCCAACGTGCTCTCCCTCTGCAGGAAGGCAATCGAGGGGCTCGTGGCCCTCAGTGAGGATGGCTGCTCCCCGATTTCCATTCAGCAGATGGCATACGGTGAGTGGTGGGCTCGGCGCGGAGCCAGAGATGGCCCCGATGGGTGAACCTGGGCGGTAGGGCAGTGCTGGGCCTCCTGCTGGGAGGAAAGGGAGGGTTCTCGTGCCGAAAGAGGCTGGGGTTGGGGAGTCCCTGGGTGCGGGTGGCCCTGCGAGGCTGCGGACGCCCTGGGCTCCGGGCCTGACAATGTCTCTGTCCTGGCAGTGGCTGGGGGGGGGGGGGCTCATGAGCGGTGCCTTCTCCATGATCAATCTCCTGGCAGACGCACTGGGGCCCGGCACTGTGGGGATCTATGGAGACTCGCAGCTCTACTTCTTGACCTCGGGTGAGTGATAGGCCTGGCCCTTGTCCCGCACGTGCATCACCTCCACTGCACCCATCATGGAGATTACACCCCATGGGCTTAGCGCCTCATCTTCTGCGCTTTGTTCTGCACTTTGCTACCCCTCCCCTTACCCTTCCTGGCCCTACCTGCAACATCATCCTGTGCCAAACCCTTCTCTGTGTCCTGCTACCCTCCCTGCTCCTCCTCCTTTCCCTTCTCATGTTCCCAGCAGTGCCTCTGCTCCTCTCTCTGGCCTGGCTCCCCTCCACCTAGCCCAAGCCCACAGGTCAGGGCAGGTGACTCTCCTCTGACTCCCCTCTGTGCCTGTCCCTGCAGCCTTTATGACCATGGTGCTGACTTTCCTTCACACCTTCTGGGGGATCATCTTTTTCCACGGCTGTGAGAACCGACGCTCGTGGGAGATCGCAGCCGTTGTTGTGATGCACCTTGCAGTTTCAGCATCGGTGAGTAGCAGGGAGTGAGCAGAGGCCTGTGCCAGGGGCCCGTCATCAGGGGTGGCTTTGGTGTGTGGTGGTCCCCATGCCCAGGGAGGAACAGCCTTTGACACCAGCAAAGGTTTGGGAAACCAGGTCTGTGTGGGACTAGTCCTCGACAAAGGCAAATGCCTGGAGTTGATTTCTTCTGTCTTGGTGCTCCACCAGCTCGGCAAGGCCATGGACTGTGATGCTGCCATGTGTGCCCATCCCACCCAGCCCCTCAGTGAAGCTACTGCGCAAGGGGGAAGAGGGAGGAACAGGACACAATGGTGGCTGTGCCCGCCTGTCAGGACTTGGGAGATACCTCTCCCATTCACTCACCCCTTCCCTCTCCTGCCTGTCTCTCCAGTCATTCTGCAACCCCGTGTATGTGGGCAGCCTGGTGCCCTCCTACGTGCTGATGGCCGTTGCTGCCACCTGGGCCTACCTGCTGTCAGGGGGATCTGCACAGAACATGCGTCGCTTCCTGCTCTGTAAGTCCTGTTCCATAGTGAGGCTTGGTAGCTGGCTGGGCTGGTCCCTTCTGGGCTACTTGGGAGGAGCTGAGCCAGGATGTTGCCTCAGAGGCCGAAGCAAAGATGCCTTCACTACCCCAGACACATTGGGAAACTGGCTTGGCATCTTACACGGGTTGTCTCCCACCATGGGAAACAGTTGGGGTAAGAAGTTTACCCAAGACTGTTCCATCTCTTTGTCCCCACAGGTTTGCCGAGCGGAGCCAGTCCCCAGGCAAGATCCTGAGGCCCTGCAGGACATTCCTGTCCCCAGCTGCCCCCTGCCCTCCCCTCAGTTCCATTGGCGAGAGC